CCAGCATAAAAACGATTATGCCCAGAGATTGAATACTAGCTACTTCGTCGAAATAAGACACATAACTCCCAAAGTACTTCTTACGGACGAGTGTAACAAGTGAGTAAAGATCCTAACAAACAGATTAATCATGCGAACAGACCTTTAGCTAAGTCTTTCAGTCATAACGGGGAACTGCAAGACAAACTTATTTGAAAATCATGGAAGCATAGTAGGAACTTCAAAAAATGCGACATAATGGGAACGATCGAGGAGAATATTGGATGATTTTCTGCAAGCTAAGGTCACGCTTGACTTTTATAATTCTGATTCATTTTATTCCTTTCGAAACTCAGAAGTATCAAATCAAAAACATTTTTGCACTGCAATTATTTGCCTTCTTCAGCATGCAAAAAAATCTTTTTGTAAAATGTAAGTTTTTTTCCCTGACATCCCTGTTAATCCCTAAACTTTTGTAAACCTGAAAGTTTTGGTCCTTTGCCAGCCGAGCGCTGTTGTAGAATTACCGCGGTCCTCGAGCGATGCAGGGAAGTGTGGGAGCTCAAAAGACAATTTCTCACACTGCGAGATGGCATGGATATTGATCATCACGTTGTCACACAGAATGTTTCGGTTTTAAAGCATGCAAATCAGGAGACGTGGAACCTGTTTATGGAGCGAAACCGAGCTTTGACTGTGTTCTCTTAGCGTAGTCTTTTGCGCTTGCCTTTGTTGACTTTTTATTTTGACTTCTTTCAGGGTAGACCTAGTAAGCGGCAAGCTGTTCACGTATGAATACGCGGGATCTGCAGAAAACACTGGAAACTCAACATGACCAGCTGAAACTTTACGAGAAGAAACTCAAAGGTTCCTAGATAAAAAATCAGCTACTTTCTAATGTCATTTGACCTATTTAAGATGTTGTGAGAGCTTACAAAAGCCTGGATGCTGAGAAGAGCGCCCTCCAGAAAGCATTAGATTCGCTTTCCAGTCAAGGAAATGATGAAGAAGGGTCTTCATCTTCCAAAGAGGTTGTTCGAAGTGAAAAAAAAACGTGTGACTCTATCATTATCTTCGATTACAGGATACTGTGAAAGATTTGAAAATTGCAATCGCAACGCTTACTAGGGAGAATACTAAAAAAGAGGCTGCTTTCCAGAATGATAAGAAGACCTTACTAGCAAGTATTTTTGCTTTATCAGTTATAGTGAATTAAGTTTTTGTTGATCTATTTTAGCTTGAAAATGCTAATCTCAAGGAGCAAATCAAGGTGATTTTGCAGACTTTTTTCAAAGACATGTATTGCAATTTTATTCTTTATTCTGCAGAATCTGCAGTCGAAGCTCCAGCAAATGGAAGCAGACCGGGAACGTGAACTCACCGACCATGGAAAGGTGTTGGCGGAGATGCAGTCGAGGTTTGCCAAGGAACATCAGTCATTCGAAGCTGGTGCTAGAGAGGTATTACGTTATCTCAGCCTTGTGCGGAATTTCTTTTGAAAATGAGGAAAGGAACCTGTCATATAACTATAGAAACTAGCTAAGAATGAACGGATCTTCGAAAAGTCCATTTTCACGATTATGGTCCAGTCATGCACGCAGAGACAGGACGTCACTGCGGACGCTATCGGCGTCTCCCTTATTTGCCGATCTCTCATCACTGTTGCCATCTGCAGTCTTTCCAAATACGGACTATCTCAGTCAGACGCAAGGCGTCCGTTCTTTGCCTGCAACGACTCGCGCGAATTAAAATATCAATGAATGCAGAGTTCCACACTTCCATGTTTCTGCAAAAACTGTAATTGTTATTAGGGTCCCATACTACCTGAAAGTAGCAAAGTAAAAACCAGACGGGAGCAACTTACAGTCGTGACTAAACTACACACATTTAGAGTGCCGTTCTTTCCAAAAAAATTAACCAAAAAGAAGATGCTCTTAATCAGATGAAGGCACGTGAGGCCGAGCTTGTTCGCCAGGTTTCATCATTGAGCAAAGAAGTCAAAGAACTCACGGAGAAGGCTTATCAAGTTCCTTCTATACAAATCTTAAAGGACGAATTGACAAACCTCAAGGCTGGTTACTCACTAGCGTCGTATTTCTTTTGTTTTTATTCTTGTTTTGTCAGGTCGATCATGCCAGAGAATTGCAAGATGCAGTGACTAGGACAAAACACTCTACTCAACTCGAAGAGCAGGAAAGGGCCTCCAGGAAAATCGCTGAACTCGAGGAGAAAACCATGAACCTCTTGGAAACAGTTGCGAGAAGTGAGGAAGCACGAAGTGAAGCCCACGAAGCTTTACTGAAAGCTGAAGCAGAGAGATCTGCTCTCTTAGAGGTGATATTTTGCTCAGACATATAGTTGAGCCTAGGTGTATGAGAGTCAGAGAAGGCAGAATCCCTCCATTGGATGTGTTCTTTTCATTGGAAGGTACCGCCTCTTTCGCCGTACGGATTTCCCATGTGGCCGTACAGATACAATAATATCTGTCTGAGACTACGGTGGCA